CTACAAAGAAAAATAGATGAAATTGCTAAAAATTAGTCCAGATTTTTATGGACTGTTTTTGTTTTTCTGATAATATGATGGCGACTTATGAGCTTTTCTTTCCTTCGTCAAATTTGAAGGACGATGCGCTCATAACAAAATTTGTTTTTTCGTCCTTTTCTTTTAAATTTACATAAGCCCTTTCAATAGAGGAGCAAATAGTATAGGCAGGAATATAATTTGAGTTTAATATAAGCTGTAGGTTCAACAGGCAAACGCTTCCTTCCACACAGAAGGCAATTTAACGTGTTTTTTTGGTTTTTTCGGGGGGGGGGTCCTTAAATTCATACAAAATTCTGAATTCCATATTTTTCATGAATCCAACAGTGCGATAAGTCGAAAGTCTGCGGGTGTTCCGTGGTTGGAAATAAACGGAAACAGCGCACGTTCGCTCAAGAAATGATCCGTAGCCGGTCGATGGCACAGCTTTTTCACCGTACACTTTTCTGACGAAATGTCTTCACGGACATCGTTTACCGCCGACCGTTACCTAATGGCCCCAATTTAATTCCCGCTGGGATGTTTTTCCTCTCGATAGTGTTTTTTTGTCCGAAAAGAAAGGAGGATCCTTTCAGTATTATCCTTGATTTCGAAAATGGCCGTTTTCGGCGTGGGTGAGGAAGCAATCTTCTTGGGCAGGATCTGAAGATGCGCTCCTGTAAAATACTCCTGTTACCAGTGACCATTCACATTCTTTGTAAGTTTATGAAGGTTTAACATTTTATGATTAACGGTAAAATTTAACTTTTTATTACCTTTCTGTTATTCTAACAACCTAAGCGTTTGAATTATTTTTTGTCTGATGTTTTACCATGTCAGATGTGTTTCCGCTTTATACTCAAGAACACCACACCTCAAAAACGAAAAATTACACAAACCCAACACTGAAGAAGGCGTGAAGTGTCTGACAGATCAAAAGGCGAGGATAGGCCGACCAAAATGATCGGAAACGTCCAAATTGCGGGTTTATCACCCCTCAAACACCAGAAGGAAATCTCACAATAATTTTAATTTTTGTTAAATAAAAAGGTTTTTCGTTCATTAGCACATTTGAATTCTTGTGCCGACAGCATCAAATTGTTTATTGTCATTTGTACGTGCCTAGATTTTTTGTAAATAATCATTATTTTTAGTCACTTTAATACCTTATAGATAGTTTTGGCAAAACCTTAGCCTGGAGTGGCTGAAGTTTTTCCTCATTATGAACCAAGGTTTACCGGAATTATAGGTGAACGAACCGGAAGTACCATCACGTGACGCATGCCGCGTATAGACGGGCAAATGTTCCATATACGGCTACGTACGTCTAATTGTCCTTTTTAATTAAGCGCTGAGTACAAAAAGGTCTAAAGGCGAAACCGTGAAGTTGGGTCCGCCCGGTCGTGCCGATCGACGCGTCATGCCCTACCCCAAAAAGGCCCGGGTGGAGGAAGGCCTATTTCTGTCGAGGGAGGGATTATTTCGGAAATCAATAGCAAGATCCAAGAGGGGTACGTCGAGGTACACTCGAAACAAAAATGCACCGTCTGTGTCGATTTTTGCGTTCGAATCAAAATCATTTAAAAAATAAAACATATAAATACCTAGACTTTCGAAAACAACTTATATGTTAAGTTCCATAATTTTTTTTATGTTGGAAATCGATCCCACCCTTAAGTCCTTCATGGCAATGCACCATGATCGATAGAACTGTTGACTTCATTTCAAGCATTGATTTATATTTCTTAACATATTTGTTAATGCATATAAACACATATTTGGATTAATTGAGCCAATAAATTAATGGAGCCAACACCTCTTTCGTGTCTTCAGGAGGTCACGTTTGTAGTTAAATAGCAATTTCCTTACCAATTCAGCACTCCTCTTCTTCTTGAGTCTTTTTTTAATTTCTTCTAATAACACATTAATTTTTCTGCATTCATATCATACCAATATTGTAATGTAGTATGATTTATTTATGATCATCCTTGATCTTGTCAGGTTAATATTTAATTGTGTCGAAGTATTTGTTGTTGTTTTTTCTTTTTGTTTGAAAAGCTTATTCATGAATAAAGTTCACAAATACTCATGGGAAAGTTTGAACAAAAAGAGAACTTCACTGTTGAGGTTAAGCACTTTAAACATTGTGGGTCTCCGACTGATCATGATGTTTTTCCCCCAATTTTGTATTGATTGCTATTATTAATATATAAAGTAATTTTTTGGCAGTCTTTCTCAAGACAACGATGCTAAATTCCGCACTGGATAAACAGAATTTTAGCCAAACGGGATAAAAGCACATTCCAGTAAGTCTTTAGGCCTGATAGACTGTATTTAGTAAGGTATTTCCTCTTAAACGTAAATGTGCTTTTGTAGACACCTTGAAACATTTGATCATTCGACTTGTACCAAAATCTTAAACTTCAAAATCGCAATCCTGAAAAGTGACGCTTTTTGACTTATTCAGTTTTGCCACGATGATGCAGAATTAATCTACCATACACGCCTGACAAAGAAAAACTTTATAGAATTGACAAATGATGGAGTGAGTGTGTTGTTCAATCTTTTTAAAAAGATAGTTCCTACTCACAGAAAGTTGTTTTCAACGACACGGATTTCGAGCTAATAGCACATCATCAGGTTCTAGAACTCCTTCAACCAGATGATGAGCTATAAGATCGAAATCCGATCGTTGAAAACAACTTACTGTGAGTAGGAACTATCATTTTAAAAAGAAAGAAAAACTTTATTGTAAGCAGAAAAAAAATCTCCCTTTCCATATCGTCAAACGTCGACCGTATCGTGTTTGTCCCAAAAAAGAAAGGATATTCAGTCCGACGAGACCTAACGACGTCAAGACGCGTCTTCCTCCCGGAAACGCCATTGTTGTGTCACTGTAATAAATTCAGCCTTCGTTCTTTGATTTGAACAATTTGAGACGCAAGCCCATGATCTGGTGAACAATACATCCTTTGTGATCCGAGGATAGGGCTTAATTAAGTACGTGTGCCGACGAAATTGATATTTACATAGAAGACTTTATCACCCGATCGTGCTTCATTCTAATAACTATAGTAACATTAGAAGTCACAAAAACTGCGTTTATTTGTTTGGCTGTTTCTATATTCGCTACGTTTATAATTTTTTTCTTATTGATTTAATTGTTTTCCATTCACTACTTCACTACTTCCATTCACTTCATAAGCTGAAAACGAAATAGTTCATTGTTAAGATGACGATTTAAAATTGCGTGAAAAAATATTTTCTGTACTTAATGTAAAATGATGTCAAGACAATAGAAATGATAGGCTTTTGAGATAGATTTGTTACAAACCAGTGTATACTTGCTGAATTTTTTTTTTTTTTTTTTTTTACAAAATAAGCCTAATTTGAAATTTATAAACAATTGCTATCAGTTCTTCTTTTAATCCAGGAATTAGCTACATTATGTTTTTGTTTGGATTAAAATTGTTAAATATTTTACATGAGGACTATATCTTTTTTTACATAGAATATTAAGCAGCTATTTGTTTAGCCAATTTGTTAATTAATACTTTAATACTAATAGGAAAAGAAGAAAATTATTATTAGGCAGTTAAGTGTTAATAATACATTTTTATTATGAGATTTCCTCCTATTAAATATATTATTTGATAGTTACCTCTCACCCTGGTCTGCCTATCCTCACTGATTTTTGTTAACTCAGTCGCGTTTTAGCATTTCGCCACCTTCAGATATAACACACTGAAGATGGAGAAATGTCTAGACGTATCCAATACAAACATTTTTATGTAGAGAACTATACTTACAATTATTAGGTTTCATGGTCCACTTGACCAAATAAATTCTTTTCAATTAATTAAGGTTTTTTGTTGAGTTAAAAAAGTCAGTCACAAGCAGGATTTGAACCCACGAACTTCGGCTAAATACGCCGCTGCTCTACCACTTGAGCTAACGTGGCTTCGATCCACTCGGACACTAACTTCCCATCTTAACCCCACCTTTTCAATTTTCCCTCCTTGAAAAATGGCAAAAAGGTGGGATTGAGATGGGAAGTTAGTGTCCAAGTGGATCGAAGTCACGATAGCTCAAGTGGGAGAGCAGCGGTGTATTTAGCTGAAGGTCGTGTGTTCGAATCTCGCTCGTGGCACTGACTTTTTTATCTCAACCAAAAACCTTAATTAATTGAAAAAAATGTACTTATAATATTCAGTCTGATTGAGGGTTGATGGGTACTTATATTCCTCCATCGACACTCTTGTACCATGCACCCCATTCATGCATATAAATATATTCTCACAAAACAGTTAAAGCACCTATCACCAAATTTAGTATATAAACAGCAATAAAATCTTGCAACAATCAAAAGAACTATACATGCAGAATTACCCTAGTTTCCTCCAGGAATCGGAATAAGGGACCCTAAAGCAGATTTATGGTTATGGTGTTGTGCAATTACAATGTGGATTTTTAATTTTTTATTTTAATTTACTTTATTTTATTTGTTTTAAACTGAAAAACAATTAATTACAAGTGTAAAAAAGTGGTAAGAAAAAATAAAATTGATATGCGTGTGAGAAGAACTTTTACAGTGGTGAATTGATATAAATGAATATTTTTCTGGCAAATCTTGGCGCGTTATGAGAGTAATGTACTACTATTAACATTAAAGCAATTTTATGAATGCACCATACTGTGTTTAGCTACATAGAGCTAGATGACTAATAAAAATTAACATAACTGGAAATTTGGCAGGCATTCAAAAAATAATAATAATAATAGGACGAAACATAGTTGATACATTAAGGTCTATAACATTTCATCATCAGATACATCAAATAGTTCTAATTTTCAATTAAAAAAGTCACACATTTTATTGATTTTTGTTTTTTGGATTGTATGTGTTGTTAAAACATGTATGGACTTCTCAATTAAAATCTTTAACAAAAACAAGTTGATTTAAAGAGTCGTCTTTTTTTTAGGTGTTGACGTGACTGCCAACCAAGATGAAATCTCGGATCATGAGACATTCCAGCTCGAGTTCGACAGCAGCACCAAAAGATGGTACTTAAGAACCATGCAGGACAAATACTGGACTCTCGAAACTGGCGGAGGTATCCAGGCTTCTGGAGATAAAAGGTGGGTGGCTGGCCTTTCACTGTAACCCCCTTTTGAATTGTGAATAGAACTCTAATCAGTTTGATTGCAGGTCGTCCAATGCATTGTTTGATTTGGTCTGGCAAGGGGACGGTTCTGTCTGCTTCCGTGCCAACAACGGAAAATTCGTCGATGCAAAACGTTCAGGGCATCTGTACGCCAACTCGGACTCAGTTGATGAGACCTGCAAATATTATTTCTACCTAATCAATCGGTATGTTGTTAAATATTCGGTTTTTTAACTCTTTCAATAATTCATAAACTCATTTTCAAACAATTTTCCAGACCCATTTTGGTGCTGAAATGTGAACAAGGTTTTGTTGGATACAAAGCAGGATCTAATATTCGGCTCGAATGTAATAGAGCTACCTATGAAACTATCCAGGTGGAAAGGGGAGAGAAAGGAGTCGTCTTTTTCAAAGGTAACTTTCTTTATGTTATGAATCCATTTTTATTAAGCTGTCATAACCAACACTAATAAAATCTAATTACAACCATTCTAGAAGCATATCAATAATGGCTAATGTCAATTTCTTTTACTCTATCCAATATTGAGTTGGCCTTGAATCATTGAGAAATTCTACCTCCTGTAACTTATTTTCATAATACATTATTATTTTCACTAATTTCATGGTCCGCTTGACCAATTAATATATTACAATTAATTAAGGTTTTTAGTTGAGATAAAAAAGTCAATGGCACGAGTGGGATTCGAACCCACGATCTTCGGCTTGATACGCCGCTGCTCTACCACTTGAGCTATCGTGACCTCGATCCACTCGGACNCTTATTTATCTCAACTAAAAACCTTAATTAATTGTAATACATTATTATATTGATTTTTATTAAGATCAACTCCGTCTACTTGAAACTAAATAGTCCTGAAGTTTGGTCATTTGTGATCATCCTTGTCTGCCTTTTGTGGTATTTGCCATTTTAAATAGCTAATTTGTTAATAGTACCTTGTTATAAGTTTTTCAAACTGTGTATTGACAATATGGTACACAAGCCCACCACCGAAGAAGGCAAAGTGCCGAAATTCACTGGCAAGCCAATCCATTGAATATTTGAAAATTAGAATTATTTGGTTAAATGTACTTTTTATTAATTATTTCCCATGGTACAGATTGATATTTCTAATGATATTAACTAAAAATCGGGAAAATTATTAATAAAAATAATTTCACCACAGTGCTTGAGGTAAAGTTGAAATGACATGTTATTTTTTCAGGGACTCAAACTGGCAAATATTGGCATGTTGATGGTGAAGGAGGTGTCAATGTTGATTCAGACACTCCTGAGGGATTCTTCTTGGAATTGCGTGAGCCGACCAGGATTTGCTTGAAAGTCGCTGCCCCCGGAGGAGGATATTTGAGTGCTGGTAAAAACGGCGCATTCCGATTGGGCGATCACGACTATGCCAACGCAACCAAATGGGAATACTAAAAGACTAACAGCTCTTATTTTGTAATTTATTATATTATGTCATGCTCTCCTGCTTATGACATTCTAGCGATTTAGGCACCCGTATTTGGGCTGCACACATTATTTATTACAATAAATTGGCTTTTATTAATTTATTTCAACACATTGGTCGTGGCCTTTTTCCAATCATAATAATGGTCGATGTTGAATTATTTTATCTCTAATACCTAATTTAATAATGTGTCCAAAGAGCTAGGTAATTAGTACTAAAAATAAACAAAAAATTATTGTATTAAAAATAGGTTCTTAAAAACTTTTAATAGGCGTTTGTAGTGAGACTGAACAACAAAACTGCATTTTTTATGGGAATTTTTTTACTTGAAAGAATTTTTATCTAATGTGAATTAAATACCATCAAAAAACAGTATTTTGTATGTCATTTTTAATTACCGTTTTTATACATTTATAACATGTTTGTATGTGGAATTACAAATTAAAAAATTTTTTACACTTTAATTAAAGCACTTCTGAAAAAATGAGAGTTACAAACTGCCAAACTTTATGCATAAGTTGCCAAATTCTATAATCAAAATAGTATTTTGGATTGCTTGGACTGCAGGAATTTAATTTGCACATTACTGGTAGGATATTGTGTAACTATCAGAATTTAAAGACATAAGTACTTATGTTCTCATAACTATGTAAAATGTGTGAATACATGTGTGCGTGTGTCTAAACACAAATATCTAAAACGCACTTGTAAGCATAATGTATAATGTAAATCAATGGAAACAAAATTGACTTATGCTCATAATATTATGGTATAGTGATATTATTAATGTATTAGTGCATCTTCTTTTTTTTTATTTTAATTTTTTTTACAATGTATTAATTTGCTTTCATTTAGTGTTTTATTACTGAACTTATTACAAGAACCAGAAGTTGCATTTATATCTCGTGATAACCGTATGCTAATGAGTTAAAATTTGATTGGTTAAATTGGCATATTGGTTCCAAACTAATGCTCATATTTCTACGGCCCTGAGTATAATTTTTAAATAAATAGTCTCAAGAAAAGAATGATAATTATATGTGGTGTATATATTATTATGTGTATGTTTTTAATTGAAAAAATATCACATTTTAAATTAATAGAAATAAACTTAATTTCTTTTTGTAACATTATATTATGTTATTGCAATAATTATTTATGTTTAAATATTTTATTTGGAGTATAAGAAGAGATATTTATATTAATATTAAGCACACTTTAGAAATGTGGATTTGTTAGACAAACCACTAATAATTTTATTGTTATGCATTTTCAACTCTAATTAATTAATAGATTTGTAAAGGAAAAACATGTGTGATTTGTATGATGGACATCTGTCTCTTTTTTGTATATTATAAGATCAATAAAAACCGGACATAAATTCACTTTATATTGAAATTATTACCACCTTATAAAACAATGTGACACAAGATTTTGTAAGTGTTGCGAACAATGGAATGCCAGCAACACACAAAGATGACACCAATCACAAAAATTTGTATAGTAAAACAGATATTTTCCTTGTGAACTTCGTATCATCTGGGTTAGCAGCTGCCTTATCAAAAACCGCTACAGCACCTTTAGAAAGGGTCAAACTCATCCTGCAGGTAGTAAGATTTTCCATCATGCTAGGATTTCCAATTACCATTTAAAAAGAATTTGATACTTGATTAAACAAAAGTTGAGTTTCTGTCCATTATAAATAAAAAAATCTTCACCATTTCAATATCCTACAATTACCCTGCCAAAACGCACCGCAATTAAAAAAATAATGCGTCAAATTTTTATATACCGACATTTCTCTGAAAGAAAATGTTAGAATTAATAACTAAAAATAATCAACCTCCTGTACAAATGGATAGATTAGTAGGTTGAATTAGGCCCATTTCACACTGGACAACATTTGTCGGATAAAAAAAATCGAGCGCTATTTTATCGTGGTGCCGGCTTTTATATTGGACAACATTTTACTGTCATTGTTTTTTGTTTTTTTTCCAGCCGGCTAACTGCTTCGGTCATTGCCGGCACCTCGCGTATATCTTTCTTACATTTTGAAAAATCTGCACTTTCTACTGATAACTTCATTCTAATTGGCTACTCATCGGAACTTAGGTTTTTGTTGCATTTCTCTTTGTATCCCTCCACATGTGGTAAATGAAGTATTTGACCATTTACATACACATACATTCAAACTAATAAACCTAGTTTCCTAATATTACAACTGAAGTGGAGGTCGGTAAGATGATTCTAATCCTGCCGACCTCCTTCCATTCTCGCAAATAAATACATTCAAACGGTATGTACAAATTCCACTCATCCATAAAACTAATCCTAAGGTTTTTTGACGGGCCTGTGAAGTACTCGATATTCCTCGACAACCACGTCCATTCACACATAACCTCTCACACTAATAAATACGATCATACTAGAAAGGACGCACTATCTCGATAGTATTACTACAACCAAGACACTGTCGACCCTTCCCACAATCATACTGCAAATATATTATCACTAACCTAAATCGGTGGGCCTGTGAGTTACTCTATTCAGTCACAGCCACACCCATGCATGCTAAACCACTCTCACTAATAAATACGTTCATACAATAGAATGGGGGGTGAACCACATGTGGGGGTTATACGCGGCTGTAAGCGTTTATTGATTTTAAATACGTCATAAGTCGATCTTTATGGTCGCTGTTATGCCTTAGAATTTTTGAGATATCGGAAGGAAGGACGCACCGCTCTCTGTGTCATGCCAGCTGTTCACATTCTTCTAGGATCTGCTTCACTGTCACAACTGCACCACACAGAGGACATACCCTGGGTATCTTTCTAATTAAGAGGTGGCCATTCGTCAGCCTCGTGTGGCCTATCCTCAATCTTGTGAGGATAATCCTCTCTCTTTTCCATTTTTTCCGGGACCCTGTCATTGTTGTTTCATATCTTTATACCATGGATCATAGGTGCATCACTTCTCTTTCATTATTATACCATTGTTTACAAAAAAAAAAACCCAAAAAAAAAATTAAAAAATAAGAAAATGTGTTACATTTCTGACTGGTATAAGTAGATCTCATCAATTTAAATTTTCCTATATTTCGCAAATTGAAAATATTTTCCCAGAGAAATATAATAATATAGTAAAATACATTTTTAAAACTAATTAAAGGATTGTAGATGGAGGACAAAATTGACTTAATGCCACCAATGTCTCATATTTATTTATTTTAACGAGACTTTTATGTTACAACAAAGATACTAACACGAAGAAAAAAGTACAAATATGCTTATATTCTAACTGCCTGTGGTTTTAAATTAATATAATTAGACAGGTGCGCTAAAATCAGAAAATCCTGCCTTGAAGAAACATGGCTTATACCAAACAGTCAGATACTTAGTAATTAAGCAGGGATTCTTAGCCCTATGGCGCGGAAACACGCTGACAGTTGCCAAAGCTGTTCCATCTCAGGTAATTTAAACCTGCAAAAAAGCAAACATTGCAATGTTTGTACATCAATTTGAAATATTACAGGCCTTGCTGTTTAGCTTCCAGGACTTCTATCGCCATATTATTTTTTCAAATGAGCCCGGATTGTCAAAACAAAAAAGTACAATGTACAGCCTGTTTGCGGGTGGCTTGGCATCAGGAACAGTCATCGGAATAACGTATCCTTTCTATTTTTGTCAAAATATCGTATCGTCCCACGTTGGAAAAATAGAATCTGCGAGGTAATTAAGTCAACATACACATATTTAATTTGTTATTAATTTAAATTTTTAAAAATTGCTAATGTATATTTTTGAGAAACAAAATATGTAGTTTTTTTTTATCAAGTTTAGCTTCCCCCCCCTACATTTAGCACTTGTAATATGTAAAACTCTAGCATAGGGGGCATCAATGATGCTTATCCTATAAGGTAAAGGTCCCTGGTTCGAATCTAGCGATTCTGCATTCAAACACTTACAAATGGGATTTTTTTCGAGGGTTCATATAACCATGTAGTTTGAATACCCTTGTTAAAATAATTAATAAATAAATAAAAATTAAAACACTAGCCATAAAATAAAATTTTATTTATTGCAGCATTTACAACAAATTCATAACAAATTTCAGATTTTCAAATATTAAAGGATGTATTTCAGAGACTAAGTCGAATGTTGGACACATTGGGCTGTATAGAGGATTTTGTGTGACATCTATAGCTGTAATACTGAATAGGGCCTTGTATTTTGGAATGTACGAGTTTCTCAAACAATCATCTGTTAAAGATGGAAATTCTAGTATGTCAAGATGGATTTCAGCACAGGTCATTGATCTTAACACACCCTTCAAATATACAAAAATAAAAACATGCAATTAATCAGTTAATGGGGTTTTAGATAGCCAGTCTGGTAGCGACTTCTGTTTCGTACCCCATAGAGACTGTAGGCCGTTTAATGATTATGGGCGTTTTTCAACAACCACGTATGAAAAAGTCAGTGTGGAACCATTTCAAGGACACTTACCAAAAAGAAGGTCTTAAGTCCTTCTTTGGTGGATTTTACGTAAACATGCTTCGGTCTGTCAGTGGTGCAATCGTGCTAGTGGTTCATGAAGATTTGTTCAGTTTCATAATCGATATGCTAAATGAGGCAACATAGACCAATAGGTCTTTTTTATATATGCATTTCCACATGTTGGAAAACAATACTGATTTAATAAAACTATTGTAATTAAAAATTATAATTGTAGAGTTTCTCTGAAGAGCATCACATACAAATTGTCAACAGGAATGTAGGCATAGTATGTACGCACATGTTCAAATTTAAACCTATATAATATAATATAAATCTAATTCCAAATCCAAATATTATTCTATTATTATTATTATTAATTTTTAAAGGCATTTTAACAGCTAAGGTCATTTCACACCCTAACATATAAACCTTCTATGTTAGGTTAGCTATATCCCTTCTGAATGCTATAAAGCTCTGACTCCAAACATTCATTCATAAAATAATCTATCCTAATGTATAATAAAAATAAATTTAAAAAAAAATTTTTAATTATAAAATTTATTCTTGTTCTTTAATTAGAATAATGAATTTTTGTTCCATAATTTAAACATTTCCCATAGGCATGTATGGCCAATAATAATAATAAGTACTCGCTTTGGCAGTACTTCTACTAAAATTGGCCAAAGCTAGTGCAGGTGCCCCTTATGCAGAGAAAGGTTCCTCTATGTGCCCCACATAATAGAGGCATGTCATGCCTTGGTTCCATACAGAGAGCATGTAAGCATGTCACCGGATTTAAGAATGGTTTTCGGAAACAGTAGCGAGTTTCATGGTCCTCTGTTCCGCTTTTTTAGGGGTATTGGGAATTTTTTTATTGTATATAGACGTCAAAATATGTGTTTTATATGAGTGAGTGTATTTATTAGAGTGAATGGGGAGGGGCTGATGGTGGAGTAGTCCCCATCATCCCTCGAGCTGTGTACTTAACTTAGGTTGTTGGTGTAATATTTATAAAAATACCCAATTAACCCCCATTAGATTAGTTGATTATTGTATGCAAGTCGATGAAGGAATATTGAGTACTCATTTACCAAATAGAATGAATGTATATCGGTGTGAATGTATTTATTTGTGTGAATGCGTATGAATGTGTGTTGTAACATTTCTCAAGCACTCGGGGCTGAAATGACCAAGCTGTTGGATGCCCCTTTAAAAAAAGCAATAATAATAATGGAGTCAGACTAGCAACAGTCTCAGCATGAGTATAGGCTCAATGTTATCCTTTTATTCTTTCATTCAAATACTATAAATGCACTACTTAACAATAGTAATAAATTACAATTAATTAAGGTTTTTAGTTGACATAAAAAAGTCAATGGCACGAGCGGGATTCGAACCTACAGGTGGGGTTGAGATGGGAAGTTAAGTTGTCCGAGTGGATCGAGGTCACGATAGCTCAAGTGGTAGAGCAGCGGCATATCTAGCCGAAGATCGTGGATTCGAATCCTGCTCATGCCATTGACCTTTTTATATAAACTAAAAACCTTAATCAATTATAAGATATTACTTGGTCAAGTGGACCACGAAACTTTTTTTTTTTTTTCATTGTAGTTTATTATTTACCCGAGCCCTGAAGATGACCCGAAAAAAGATCGAAACGTCGGCAAAAAAATTAAAAAGGCGTTTTTCTAAACTGCCTAATTCTTGACTGCTCCTCACTTCAACAATTTTTTGATAAAAACCTGAACTATTATTTTTAAATATTCGCGGGATTGTACTTTTTGATCTGAGAGAGCGCGATAAGTCTGATCTCTTTGTTCAATTATACTGTTTTATTTTTTTATGGAGTAATTTAATTTTTTATTGTCGTAAAATTGTACCAAATACAATTATGTTTTTAATGTATTTTAATATAATGTTGTTTCAAGGCGAAATTGTGGATAGTTGGGAACAGTCGAAAAGGCGGTAACCCCGTGGCCGGGACCGGAGTCAACAGTCAACGGCCAACTCGTGTTTGTTTTGATCGAACAGTTGTTTGTGTGATCAACAAAAACAAATCTCGTCTTTGATTTTATTCGGTGTCGTTGAATCATCGATGGGTTTAAATAATAGACTGTAGCGTTTTGAAAATAATCTAACTGGATCCTTCGGGGATCGGGCGTTGTCAATTGCGTTGTATCTAGACTCGTGTCGTCGTCGAGGGATTATTAATTATGAGCCTCTCAGCGGATGAGGAGAACGCACTGAGAATGCGGATAACGCATTTCGTCCAGCCTTACCCGTCTGGTTCTTTGGTTTTAAGCGACTGCGACTGCACTTCCGTCTCATATTTCTTCATATCAATCGTTCTTCTCATTCTGGGCATGTGCATCAGCGCTTCTGCCCTGGGTGCGACCGAGCTCAAATTGTTCTCCAACCTGGGGCACATGTGGCTCATCGGGCCGATTTGCGTCTGCTGCGGGACCATGATCGGAATCAAAAGTTTCCTGTACCTGAGGAGAAAAAACGTGATCAAAAGACTCATCCGACAAAGGATACTCATTAGAGTAAGTATTGAGGATGTTCATGTTCGGTTTGGCCGGTTATTTGTCTTTGGTGTAAAAGAAATAATCAATGGTTTATTTTATTATTTATTTTAATAGTATGGGCCCCATATTCACTCAATTTTATCTGCCAGCTTGCCTGGATTCACATAAGAACCATAAACAGCATGTGTAACCACAGTTCAGTTTTCCATGTTTTCCTTCATCTGTCGCAGTTCTCAGTTGGTGTCATGAGAAGGGTGATAAAAGAAAATTAGTATTTTGGCTTTTGGTAGCTGTTTCGATACTAGAGGAGACAAAAAATAATTTAAAAAAAGGAACACTGAACCTTTCACCCATCTCAAAATTTTCCATAAATTAGCAGTACTGAACAAATAGTTGGTCAGAGGAAACTGAGGACCAGAGCTCCAGGCAAAAAATGACCAGACATGAGATGTAGTGTATTGTCTCCAGTGGCTCATCCCAAACCTGGTTTGCCGGCGAACCCGACCCTTTTGCATACCCATCGTCTTCCTCTCCGCGGTCGGCCTCATCTGCTACTTGGGTCTCGGCAGTTGCATGTCAACAACTGTGACAACGTACTATGCGAAGACTGACTGCCATGCCCTTTCAACAAGGGTAACAAAAAAAAACAACCCCTTTCAAAAAACAAAAGTCAACGCCTTGTGTACAAAGTGTAAATAAAGACCTTTTACACAATTTCATTCCTCTTGAAGAAAATTTAAAAAAAAATCCGATTGTTCTTTTTCCTGTTTTTCTTTTCAAAACAAGAATGAATGTTACCTCAATTTTCCTTAGAGCGTTTAAGTAGAGGAACATTTTTATTTATACACTTTGCATTATTAAAATATAAGCTAATGTGTACATAATTCGGTATACGTTGAATCAAACATAACAGAACTGTACAATTAGTTTAGTTAATCGTAAGATATGTTAAACTGAGTGTATGGGGCCCTGCAAGCCAGTTTTCCATCAAAAGAGATCTGTTTAAAAAAAGAGTTGATTGTTGGATCCAGCAGTTACATGCATAAATTTCTAACTGTGAAACAATCATTGGATCAGTGCTGCTTGGCTGGACCTACAATTCATATCTTGGAAAGGTTTCAGAAAAACATTTTCTTTATTGTACAAACATTTCGATATTTATTCAGAAATCATGAGATGCAGTCTGGTGTGATGTAAGTTTCAGAAAAACATTTTCTTTAACATGCCAATGTTTCGATCTTTATTGAGATCATCTTCAGCAGGCACTCTCAACATGACAGACAAGAATGGCACAATTACGCAGAAAACAAACACTTTGAGCACTATATGATCTCAATAAAGATCGAAACATTGGCATGATAAAGAAATTTTCTGAAGCCTAGGTCACACCAGACTACACCTCACGATTTCTGAATAATCGACTAATGGTCACTAATCACCACATATAATTGTAAGGTAATGCAGTCTATTAAAAAGGATTATGCTACCCCACCTGAGCATATTCGCATAGCAATATTCGTCTGACACACCTATACATGCTTCTGCACCAAAGCCCACATAGGTTTCATTTGTAGAGAAAGGTTCATCATGAAAAATTAATTTGAGCATGTTAATTCAAAGACAATAACCACAACCAAACTGCTAACTTGGAAAACAAATTATATTAATCAAAACACTCATAGCATTTTTTTGAGGATTTCCAGGATATCGTTCGTGATTCGAGATGTTCTCACGTTCTCACGCAGAGGTGTTCACATTTGACCGCAAGCGCGATGACACTCCCGCCTCCTTATGAATTTATATTGAGCCAAATCGCTCTCGAGACTCCACCTCCTTCTTATGACAGCGCTCTTCTCAACATGGAACAGCCCATCACAAAAGTGGACACGTTAGTCTGTCGCTTCATTTGTAAAAACAGAATTTATTTTAATATTTTATGCATTTTACAGATATACAGAAACAACTTTTTAACAGTATGTAAGTACCTTTTTGACTCCAAAGGATCAAATATTAGAGTAATATTCGTTTAGGCCATAAAGTAGCCATTTAGCCGTTCAGGCCAACTGGTGTGATGAAGACTGATAAAGAACTGGACATGAATCTAAATTTATTGGCCTTGAAATGGTGCTAAATCGACAATGGTATTTGATGTTTTTATACAAAAACGAAGTTCACACTCATTACTGCAATAAAACCTTGTAATTCACTTTTCCCTTTGCCAAGTATAATAAATAACCAGTATTTACATATTGCATTTATTGAATTTATATAACAGATGTAAACATAAAAAGATTAAAGACAATTTTTCTAATTGTATAACTAACTTAGTAGGCAAATCCATTTCTGTTCTTTACATACATTATTTTTTTATTATTATTATTATGCTTGGCTAAAAATACAAGAATATGTTCATTTTTTTAAGTCTGATTTATTTTTGTTCTAATTTGTGGCATTAATTTTATATATTTTAAGCATCCCCACCATTAAATCATTGAATTAGTTTTAAAAATTGATAGTAGAAAAAATTAGTAATTTGTAGATTAAAGTTATGTATAAATATATATTAAAGACGTTAAATGATTTATATTGAAAAAACTAAAACGAAGAGCATACATTATTAAGCACTGAGATGTTTTTTATTTTCATTCCCTTGTAATAATATTATGTAGGTTAGTAATTATAAATTAGAGTTTTTGTTATGATCAAAATATTAGTTGTACCGAGATTTTGTACTTTTTATACAAACAACTTCTATTTAAGTGATAATTGTTTGTATTCAGGATATTTTTAATTTGTGTTAAAAAATTGCCGCGAAAATGCTTTGTGGCTTTGATAAGATAAGCATTCGTTTTGATAACTTTCTTGGAAGGTAGGTCCATTCTTCCATGAAAAAAGACCAATTTAGTATGAAAGTTTGTTCATAATTATAGTAATAATAATAAAATTGACAAATCACAGAACAACCATTGATATTGATTGTTTTTAGTTCATGTGCTCAACTGTGATAGAAAATGTAGCATTTAATTGAATGGTTATTATATTTTACATCTTGTAATCTTTTATTTTCTTGAAAATTGTACAAGAATTCTAAAATAAAAATGTTTTGTTTTTATGTGTCGGATTTTCTTATTTAACACTGTTCCTTACCATGTGTGACTTATATTGAATGAATGAAAGTGTTAAAAATACTAATTGTATGCAGAGGGGTAGCAATGATCAAGTGGTTAGATATCTGTCTTCCTATTTGCCATGCTAGTGGTTCTGGGTTTGAATCCCAGCTTGGCTATGAAATTTTAAGTGATAATTATTTATTATTTTATGTTATAATGTTATTAATAATTGTTATGATATTTATTAGTGGATCATTAAGCTCTCAAATATGACATAAATTACTTTACTTTAATAACGGTACTACAGTTTTAAATAGTTCGCCATATCAACTTTTTTTTTCTTTTTTTTTTACCCCCAGTAAAAATACAACCCACCTAATTTTTACAGCTTGCATTAGTTTTAACCAACTTGGAAAATTCAAGTTTATTGTAAATTTTAAACTATCAATGTTAGCCATTGTCCAAAACATTTTGTTGTTAATAATCCAATCCTTTAATTTTTGAGCACTCTCATGCATATACAGGATGTCCCAGTTCCTTCTGACGAAACTCAGGGAATCGATTCTACTCTTCATTTGGAGCAAAAAATGCCCAGGAGAAAATTTTCAGAAAGTTCTCTATTTTGAAGATATTCGTCAATTTAGGTTTTTTCAACTTTTCACTACATTACCACATAAAAACGCTTACAACTTCCGAAATGTTGAGATTACAACAAATCCAATTACACCATTTCAAAGAACGCTAAATTTGCTGTAAGATACTTCTATTTGCAATAATCTTAATGACATAAAATGTTAGCCAATGTCAGTTGGAACATGTCAAAATTACAAAATTTAAAATTTTGGTCATAATTGCACGTTCTACTGAGGTTACAAAAAAATACCTACAACTTGTCAAATTTTACAAAAACTTCATCTAATATGCTTTACGTTGATATATCCAGGTTTTTTAAATAACATTCTAGTAGAGTTGAAAAATAACAATTGAATGTTTGAAAACGTGAGCTAAGGTAAATTTGAAGGGGGGGACAGAATCGATTCCCTGAGTTTCGTCAGAAGGAACTGGGACACCCAGTATATATATATATTTTTTTAAATATTTTTATTTAAAGTTAATGAAGGGGCCGAGTAGTTAAAGCGTCTGATTCATATTTGTCATGCTAAAGGTAATGAGTTTGAATCCCAGCAGGGCCCATGGTTTTTTAATTAATTATAGTATAAAAAATGTATTGTAAAGTGGTTTGATCCCTAGTCATCCGAGTAGTTGGACGTTAAACCCTCCAGTATTTAATGATATTTATTAAAAGATAACATACCTAACTAACAAAAATGTTTTTACATTAATAATTTATATACTTGATTGTCCAAGCAAATATTAAATCGAAGGAGTGAGAAAAGATAAATAAACTGTTTATTTTTGCCATAAGCTAGAATCTACAAAATTCTTGCCAACCTTTGATGTTCAAGTTGAAACTGTCCTAACTAAGGAAAAACCAGGAACTATAAAAAATTTATAAATTCGGACACCATAGATAGTAAATTTTTTTAATCGTTTCAGCATATTTTTTTCCATAACACTGGAAACCTCATTTCCAAATTTTACTTTTTCAATTGTATCTTCACAACTTAAATCCATATAAGAGTAATTGTTATTTCATATTTTTGTACCACAGTTTTGAAATTTAGATGGTTGGTGAAAAAATTAAAACCAAGTGTTCTGTGGCATAAAAATCTATGGATCCACAGTACCCCCAATTTTCTCATCTTTTTCTGGAAGAGTTTTTGGAAGTGTTTAAATAAACCATAACAAAAGGTGGACAGAAAAAAACAAGCCTGGCTAATTTAATGAATAGCCAAACTAAGCGTGTACTACCTGTATTTATATATGAGCGTTGATAAGTTGAGATTAATCAGCAAGATTAGAATACGCAATGTATATAATATAAACATCTATACAAGAATCTCAAAACTCAGTCTCAATTTGTTGTAACATTCTGCTACATGTTCAAGAAATAATAACATGAGCCCAAAATTCAGTTTACCCATATGTATAAAGAAAATACCTAATCCAAAAGTAATAGCAGGTAAGAATGTATGAGTACTACTAAAGTTTGATAAAAAATGCAAAAAATATCATGGAAATTTATATTAGGTTCTTAAATAGTATGTTGTTCCATATGTCATATTATGCAAGTATACATATACACTCAACTCGTGATAATTTGAAGCCGAAGGGATCACAAAAATAATTTTAATTATCAAGATATTCAAATTATCAGAACAATAAAAACTTGTTAAGAGTTGATAAGTATTTTTCCAATTGTATTTATATAAAACATAGTAAAAATAATGAAAAAGCGGAAATATATCAACTGTAAAATGGAATATTGTTATGCATTATTAAAAAAATCATGAAGTGGTTTTTGTTTCAATGTTGCCTGGCGTCTTTTGTCTGAATGATTTTCCAAAGTGACCAGTGATGAGACAATTGACAAAACATTGACCGCAAAACATAACAAACTAGAGAAAATTAGAAGAAACTTTAGGCTGTACGAAAGTAAACAATACATGGAATTTAGAGAAATATAACAAAGAAAAAGTACAATTTATTAAGATGTGAAGTGGCTCCATTTCAACTAATAGCATGCTTTTTCTCCTGTTACAAAAAATATTTTGTAATACCAAGTATATCAAAATGCACAGAATTTTTTCGATTTACAGTTGTACCTGTCGATGAGTTCGTATTATCAAGAAATTCCAAATTTCAAATTAACAAGAGTCGACTTTATATGAAAAATTTTGTTATGGCTGATTTATTTATTTTTTAATGCAAATTGCTTGCTAGTTAAATTTTTTTGAAATATAGTGTCATGCTAAATTTTACTTTGTAGATATTTTAAACCCTAACCAGATATCTTTAAACATATATTCTTATTTCATCTCTAAGCTCTCCCCTGTAATAGCTAATGCTGAAATGCAGTATGATTATTACATAGAATGTAACATTACATTTTATGTATTGCAGTTTTTTTTGCTTTTATGTCCGTGTATAGTGGTATGTTTTTTTAATCGATTCATATTAGCGCAATATCGCGCGTTTTCCTAAAAATGAAATTTTCAGAATCAAATAAAAGTTCATTTACTTAATTATTTAAGAATATTATGCATTTTTTAGTTATTTTAAATTTATTTTGAAAACATAGGAGAAAAATAAGATAAACTGTTCAATACAGAAGCGTAGACTTTGCTTCAAAATGACTCGATCAAGAAGTCATTGGAATGGTGCCACAGTAGCGAACCTCCTCCAAATTTCTTTTGGTCTGTCTACTGTTTATAAGTGAGGTAACTGCTCGTTCTAATATTTTATCCTTAATTATCTCTTCAATCTTTAAACAATATCTCATTTGATTCATAACAAAACATTTGCGCGAATTTTGTCGCAGTTTGGTTCGAAGTTGTAAAAGAGGAAATCTTTTTTTCAGCAGATAGGATGGTACAGCGGCTCGTGTACAGGCGTAGGTTATCCTACAACACCAAGAGCAACCGGAGGAGGGTGTAAGTAATACAATAAGTTTGACTTTCCTAGACATTTTCGGTGATTTTCCAGCCTGATCGGAACGATTTTGTTAATTCCTGTTTTTTATTTTGAATTGCAGCGTCCGCACCCCAGGTGGCCGTCTGGTATACCAGTACCTCAAGAAGCCCAAGAGGATATCCAGATGTGGTCAATGCAAGGACAAGTTGAGGGGCATTGTGCCGGCAAGGCCGATGGAAAGGGCCAGGATCTGCAAAAGAAAGCAAACCGTAAAGCGTTCTTACGGTGGTGTCCTCTGCCATAAATGCGTCAAAGAACGGTAAAATGCCATTACTTTTTAAAATATTCACTAGTTTATATAGAAAAACGTTTCTCAGTATGATCTCTGTACATGAAGTTGCACTGCCATTATTGTTGTGTGAGTTCTGGACCGATGTGACCAGAAAGGGACTGTTCGTTGGATCGACCTGCCCCCAAATTGATAAAACCCAAAAATATCTTAGGGAAATTAAAGATAAATCCAATTCCAAAAAGTATTTAACACTCAATGTGGGTCTGTTTTTGGCTATCAACCCCCATTACAGGACATATTCATATGAGGCGAAGGCAAAGAGTGTTTGGAATTGCATGGAGGCCCTGACGGAAGGCACTGACACTTAACGGCCTGACCCTGCCATGGGTCCCTGGACATTCGGGGCATAGAGGCAATGAAAAGGTTGACATGTTGGCCAAAAAGGGGTCCAACAGGGACTCTCTGGGCCCAGAACCCTACTGCGGCTTAGCAACCTGCCACAAAAGAGGATACATCTTAAAATGGACCTTAATGAGTCCAAAACCTGGTGGAACAGTACCACAGGTATAAGGCTCGTGAAGAGATTCATAGGACTATCTGCAAAACTTACAAAAGAATTACTGGAAGGGAGCATACCAGGATTCTGATTGGACTTGTCACATAAAAAACACATGCACCTGATAAAAGTTCAGACAGAAGAAGCACTGTGCAGATACTGCCAGGAAGAGGATGAGATCACAACACAGTTTACGTTTTTGTGAAGGTTTAGTTTTAATTTGGTCAAAGACGAAAGTTTTGGCAAAAAGTTCGAAGAAAAAACCAAACCATTTGGTCTGCTATTTATCAATCACATTTCGTGTTCTAACTGCCTCCTTGTGTAAAAATGGAAGATTTGCTCTTTTTAACCACTCTTCACCGGTGCTCAGAGGGCTAAAGTCAGTGGAGATGGATTGATAAACATTTTCTATCCTTTGCCGCTGTTTTTCAACTGGGTTTCCTGATTTATGATTTGTGTAGCCACTGTTTGTTAAATGACCCCATAGAATTTGAGTCAAGTGAGTTAAATAGGGGGACCGAGGAGGCCAACTGATTGGGCCATGAGGTCCTATCCACTTATCCCGGAACATGTCACCTGCAAAGAAGAATTTACAATACATCAAAGCAATCATTCAAAGCATAAAAACTGTTTATTAAAATCAACATTATCCATCATCATCACAGTTTTCACACTGTTTGTCCATTGTCGCTATGGGTCTTTCAAGAGAGCATGTGCTTAGTGATGTAATGTTTTCATATTCGGCATGGAAGAGGTTCCATCTATGATCTCTATGAGGTTGGTCTGATATTCATTAGTTATCCTTTAATGTTTGTGTAGACCAGCTTGATCAAAGACTAGATTTTTTCCCTTGTACTAATGTGTATCTAGACTATTTACAATGTTGAATTATCAGGCATGTGTCAATGTACACACATTTGGTTTAATTGAAAGTCACATCGATGTAGTAGGAAATGCATCTTTGCCATAGAAAAATTCATCATCATTCATAGTGGTGTTTGTATACATCATACTTTGAAGAAGACAAAATTAACATTTTTTAACTCTGTGTGACTCAGTTCTGAACAGCTCTTCTAGGCTGCCTACAGTTGTTTTGATTTGACAAAGATTCATTTCAGCATTTGTGAGTTGGGACAGACTGAAACTATGAGAAGGGCATTCCAAAACGATGAGAAACGGTCAGACGACAGGGCTCAATAAGATTTTGTTTTATTTAGTTTAAAAGAACAGAAATTCCACAAGAAGAATGTTTTGAAAGCTTTTTTCTTTTATGTCATTTGATACTTTTCTTATCTATTGTCTAATTTTTCTAATGTTTCAGCATTGTGCGTGCCTTCCTTATTGAGGAACAAAAGATTGTACAAAAGGTAATGAGGACACAACAACCGGTCATTGCCGTTCCAGCTAAGAAGACATAATTTTGTTCAATAAAATTTTAATATACAGTTTTTAAAAACAGTGGCATTATTTTTCTTTCTAACCTATTCTATACTTAACCAGTAGGTACATGTATAAAAAAAATCCAACCCTAACTAGTTGGCCCACTCTGCAATGAAAGTTAAAAATCAAAATACTTTTATTCATATTCTTATAGAACAAAAACAAACACTAATCAAGCCTGGTCTCCTTCAATGCGTACTTTGTTGTCTTCCTCTATCCCTTCTGTGGTGCTCGCTATCTTAAGGTCCTCAGGAGTCTCGTATAACCAGAAGAAAATCACTTAACTATAGAAAACCAACTTTTTCCGCTCGCTCAGTGCCCATCTTGTTGATACCATAGCCTGCTTTGTGCTGCTCACTTTGCTGTCCTCTCTGCTTCTGGACATTTTCAATGTTTCAACCAGACCTCACTTTATCCCCCATCGTGATAAAAAGTTTTATTTTTTCTTTGTTTTGTTTTTGTAACAAAAACCTAACTTTGTGAACTTAGTCCTGTCTATCCTATTGGAATGCGTAATAAATTAGTCATAGTATACTTATCCAGTAGGTACGTGTTGATAGAATTTTATTTGATAATTTATCATTAAGTTATGATTTCTGTTCTTTTAATATTGGATAGATAAATTATCATCCTCTTTTACTACTATTATTCTGAATTACTATTGAGTCTTAAACTGTTAAAATCTAGATTTTGGTAAATTTGTGGTCTCATTATTCTGGTCTGCTAACACTTAAGTGTTTTTTATGATTTGTAGATGTTTCCAATTTTGTCAGCCTTTTATTTGATCTATATTGCTATAAATATATTTTGTGATATTGGATGTGGGAATGAAATGTTTGAAAGAATCAGCTCATTACGATTTACAAGCTGTTTGTTTACCAGATCTACGATTTGTTAAGAGGTCCTGTCTATCCTTCAGGCCTTGGCTTTTCCTCCCCCAGGAGCAGGAATCTCAGCCTGCACACCCACTAAGGAAATGTTCGACCATTTCTCCTTCTAGTCATTATGTATATGTGTACCAATGGGATCTGCTGTATTGTCAGCAGTCCTACTCCTACTATCATGTTACTTTCAGAAATGGTCCTTTAATGAACATGCCCTGGAATACATCACTGAAGTGACTTATCCATGACAATTGCCTGGTGGATCTGTTTTTGGCAATTTGGTATGCCACAAAAGCGTGCCGGGCTCATAGGTGTCCTGATTGGGCTTCCCTTGGCCCATTTATAAGCATCTTCGTTTCATCTGTCTTAGACACCTGGATACCCAAATAAGAAAAGATTGATTTTTCCAAGTTTGACAGGGCCTTGATGCATCCCATGAGGGAAGGAAATAAATTGTGAGAGTTCTCCTTGAGTTTGGTTGAACCTGTTTGCTTGTTTCCATATCCTTGCTAATCTGGTCTGTCAGAAGAGTTGAAGGCATTTTCTTTTGCCAACCATGGAAGGTGGTAAGATGATTAAACGCCCTCCTAACAGACCAAAACAGTCTGACAAGGCAGACCAGGATCTGCTTTAATAATTTCTTTCAATTAATTAAGGATTTTAGTTGAGATAAAAAAGTGTCATGAGCGGGATTCGAACCCACGACCTTTGGCTAGATTTGAAAAATGGCAAATAGGAGGGAAAATTCAAAAGATGAGGTTGAGAAGGAAAGTTAGTGTCCGAATGGATCGAGGTCACGATGGCTCAAGTGGTAGAGTAGCAGCATACCTAGCCGAAGGTCATGGGTTCGAATTCCGCTCATGACACTGACTTTTTTTATCTCAACTCAAATCGTTAATTAATTGGTCAAGCGGACCATGAAAATTAGTGAATTTAATAGTTTTTAATACAGTATGATTATTAGTATTTGATGGGTGCTATCAAATTGTTGGGATTTGTAACATATTACGTTTTTGGGCCCATTAAAACATGATGTATTTGAATATCATTCATGCTGAACCTTTGATACTTCCTTAATTAGCCCAATGTTTATTTTTTATTCTGGTGATTTTATCTAAAGGCAAGTTCAATTTAAAAGCTTGTAGCTTGTTGGCATTCACAAAATGAAATTTGACAAAATTTAAACCAAGGTGCACCAGGTGAAAAAAATTAAGAGAATTCATGTTTAATTTATAATTTATTTATTGTTTGTCTGGTTGTTAAGGAAAGTTTGTTGATTAAACCTGAATTTTAAAAGTTTTTAAACTTCATGCTTTCTTTAGTGTCCCTATTTTGTAGGTTTTACCTTTTGTTCACGTGAGTGAGCTGTTGTTTTTCTGAACTGTAACCTCATTTCTGGTACCTTTTATGCTTTTACTCATTGACGTTTCTATTTGACACTTGTTGATAGCTGTACTTGACAGTTATAAATTAGTAAAATCTGAAACTTGTTTTAAAGGAAACTACTTCTTAATTATGGTATGTCATTTTTTAACAATTTGGTTTTATTATTATACATCTTTTATATATTATTTAATTTAATAGATAATATTATTTAATGTCTACAGGCTCACCATTTCAAAGAGGAGGATATCGATGGTAAATCATGTCACCTTGTATTCATAATTTGAATTTCTAATGACATGTTTTTCACAGAGTTTCGTGAATGCTTCTTTCTATTCGCCAGAAGCGGGCACATCAGGACGTTGGACGAGCTCACGGTTATTATGCGTTCTTTAGGAATGAGTCCTACAATCGCTGAATTGAAGGGGTACCTCAAGGAAAAGGGTAATGCTACACAAGAAAACAAGTTTTGAGGTGTTTCATGTCATCAAGCGAAGTGACAAACTTAGTTTGATGGTCTCTGACCCGGCCTGCCTATTCTCACTAGTTTTGCCTGGAAAAGCTTCATAACACTTAGTTAATTTTACTGGTTTATTGTACTTAACATATTTGTTATGGCAGTGATTTGTAATATGTATGTACTAATCCCAAAATACATTACTTTGAAAAGCAGAGCATTGCAAAGGACTTGTGTCATTCTGGAGTGAAAGTCCTAGCTTAGTAAGTTTATGCTAATACAACCCTCGCTAAGAGTGGCAAACCCACTGCTACAGTTAGAGAGGGGCTAAACTCAGAGGGGTGATAGGACTATATACCTATTTTATAGGTATATAAACTTCCATCTAAGAAAACATCTACACAGCGTGGATATATTCAACAATGACCTCATTGGTTATGCAATAAGCAGGAAGAATCGGCCACCCATATCACCTTTGAATGTGAAGTGACTTTCAATGGAGACAACCTGGGATACAAAGAAAACCCAGGGAATGGATTCGCATCAACGACAGTCAATGTCCTAGTACAGCTTAAGGAACTAGGCAAATACTACTAGAAGGCTGGAGTGTTTGGGGAACCCCCCCTGGCTAGTACCCATATCATCATCATCATCATCATTGTCCCACATCACATTCCTTTAAGCAGTATCATATCCAATCTGAAGCTTTAAACTTTTCCTTATAAATTGTAGTGTAAACTAGTAGAATAGCACAGATGGTTGAAGTGCATCTGATGGACAAAACCAGCTAGAATAAGCCACGCCAGAATAATCAGAGATAACCAAAACATGACATATAATTCACCACTACCCCTATTCTCCCTCCTACATGTATCAAAACATCCATACTATCATAGAAACTTGTCTTGATTGTAATTTTCCAGGAGGAAGAATGTCTTTTCCTGACTTTTTAAAAGTAATGCATGCTCACAGCAGAGTGGAAAATCTACCAAAAGAAGTAGTCAACGCTTTCAAGGCAGGCGATCCCGCTAAAAAAGGGACCATCCCAGCTGCTCATCTGCGACATATGCTTCTCCACTGGGGCGAACAGCTTAGCGGTAAAGAAGGTATATTTTAAAATATTTTACACTTACTTATTTTGTATAAATTTTATACTAAATACATCGTTTTATTTACAGTTGAACAGATATTTCGGGAAGCCAATGTTTTACCCAATTCAATGGTCAAATATGAAGATTTTGTTAAAATAGCATGCGCCCCAGTGCCTGACTATTACTGAATTTATGTATTTGTATTTGAATTAAATGCACTCAATGAATTTTATAGCACGTACTTAATTTATGAAATATGTTTAACTTTAATGTTAACAAATGCAGTATTTTTATGATATATTATTTAATTTTTATCAAATAAACAATATATTTGTTACGGTTTGTAAAAAAAGAAAAAAGTATATATTTTTTTAATAAGAAATATTCCTCTTTTCAGTTATACACAAATTATATTTTCATCCAGATTTTTAGCATTGAGTGAATTTGGTCCCGCTCTGAACCTTAATCTCCAAAACTGTTTATGCTTTACTTGTTAATTTATGTACAAAACACAAGTCAGGGTTGTCGGGATACTTAATACCCTTTCACACAATAAGGGTTCATTAAGTTGGGGACATTGAAAGGGTTTTACTCGTTTGCTTTCATTACTAAAGTTGCCTCAGGCTACAATCAAGCTGATAAATACATTCATACATTTAACATGAGAACATTGGTTAACTTCAGTTATCTAAGAAACCCCTTATTTATTCCAAAAGCGAGGACTCAAAATCTCCCTCAAGAGCAATTTTCATATTAAGTGCCTTCCTACTTGTCAGTCACGCCTTCAATTTTATTATGTACACATGAGCGATCTTATTCTTTGTGTCAGACATATGTGCGCTTTGGCACAAAAGTAGGTGCCCACTGTGTGGCCTATTCTGGGTCTGGTTAGGAAAGTCTCTCTTCTTCTACAGAGATCTTCTGATGCACCTACCAGTCATGCTCTTAAGGAGTGTCGGTGACCATAATGGCATTAACATGACATCGCTGTAAAGTGAAGGTTTTGATTTGAATCCAGCCCCCAGCATCGGATTTTTGCTTTTTTTTTCTTCAAAATCTGAATTCAAACCCCCCCCCCCTTGTGGCCACCGAAGTCCCCTAACCTCATAGCTAAAATACCCTTGGAAAAAAAGTATTATTTTGTGTGTCTATGTTTTGATGAGCTCAAAGAGAATTGAGTAATGCTTTTACATAGTACATTTCCCCCTTCTTAAAACTAACTGTTTGGTTCCAGCCCCCTGCTTGGTCATAAATGCCAGATCCCATATTTATGAGTCAATTCCCTCTATAACGAACATGCAAGAAGTGTTTTGTGTTAGGTAGGCCCTTGGAAAACAATTAACTACTACTTACTGTACTAACATTTTATTATCCTTAAAGAAATTACATAAATGAATTTTATTTCTTGTCGATTATACAATAATGGTATACGGGGGCTTCCTATCAAGTGCAGGTTCCAGAATTACACATGAACTTACAGTAAAGGCTTGGGTTCCTATCTACAGGTGTTACAATTCCCCAAACTATTCTACGAAGACAGGATTGCCTAAACTACTCAGCCTGAGAGGGACAAAACTCAAGACACTCACCCAGTATCAGCAAGACGGCCGCGATCATCTTCTTCCCAGCGTTAGAACAAGACTGACTCAACGTCCGTCGTGGGAAATGGGATCCGTCTGTCTCAGATTTCTTCCCTCCCAGTCTATACACTTTTTCTACAACTTTAAATTAAACTACAACTAATTGTCTCTCATACACTACACTATCCCCCCAACAATTAAAGTTGGCCAACTAGACCAACTTTACACTACCTTAATCTACACCACACTACTTGAAGATCTCAATTCTGACCTAGTAAAAATCAATTTATGGGCTAACACTGGCGTCTACTTTCCACGGGACCTCCCTGTGAACTCGTACTTTCTCCTACCAACGTTGGCTGGGTTGTCACCTCCTCTTTCTGGGTCTCCTTCTTTTCTGCAGAGCGCCTCCACTTCCAGAACCCTCCTCCCATGGCTGCCATAATCGCCACTGCTATGCTCCACCCCTGGGCAATAGTTCTTCTGGTTTGAGTTGTTTCAATTCGATGCAGGAGCGTTTCCAAAGCCACCTCGTTGGTAATATAGTGCGGCGACCACTCGGAGTCCTCCTCCAGAGTCGCAACCAGGTCCTCCTCGGCGATTTCCTCTGCTTGTCCTGGTAGGTACATTCTTCGGACGATGCCGGTCTCAAGGTCAGGGCGTTTGATCTGGGTCCTTATCGTCTGACCTTTTGTGGTGGGTAGTATTAGGTGCTGGTCCGTAGAAAGTTCACAACCCTTGGCATCTCGCAAGTGTCTCTCACTGTTCTCGGTAGTTCCGCCGAATACTGCAAATTTCCACTTATTAACAAAAGATCCTCATTTTTCACAAGGTAGGATCACACCTTCAAGTTTTCTGGAAGGCACTCATGAACACTGAACATTTTAAATTTTGGATAGGTACTTCTTAAGGGCACTGATAAAACTATTTTTAGTTCTGCCTCGCGTAAGCACTCGTGGTAATCAGGTCATAATATTCATGCAAATTGGACAATTCCGCAGCATGTACCAGGGAGAGATGCCGTGGCATCAGCCCCTCTACTAAGCTGAGCAGCTCGCATAGGGTATTTGGAGGTACACTTTTTCTACAACTTTAAATTAAACTAAAACTAATTGTCTATCATACACTACATTTTGTTTAAAAAAAATTATATTGTTCATTGTGAGGGCACATATTTAAGAAATTTAAAAAAAAAATTAGATAATGGATCGATCAGATTTCCTACAGTCTTTCAACCAAAAATAAATACATAAAATAAAATAAACGATTATGAGAATATTTAAATATCAAAGAAGAAAAAAAAGGTCATTTATCAGGAGGATTAATTAATCGTGTAAATTTATGCATAACTTTCAGATTATTTATTTATAGTAGAGGGATAAGGAAATAATTATTCTTGCACATGGAATACAAATATAAAAAAATATATATATAAGCTATAAATTTGACTCAACGATACTCGTCTTTAAAAAAAGATTTATTTACTATATATTATTAAAGTTTACAATTAACTTTACATAAAAGTGAATAACTTGTAAAATAAAAATTAGGACGAGGTCGTGATTAAGATGCGGTTCAACTCCGAGTCTGAGTATGAGTCTCTCTTGAAAATGGTGGGAGAGGACCTAATATAGCCTCTGTAGAGTTGCTGAGTCTGCAGGATCTATTATGATGACAGAAGCAGCCGTTGCGGATGTAACTCCATCCCTCGTTCGAGAATTTCCCTGGAAATTCTTAGATTTGGCGGATTTCATTCTCGGGTGGCCCGGTGAAGTCTGTTGTCATCTCGAATCGTGTCCAAGCCATGGCAGTGATTAAAGTCACTGCGATGATCAACATTATGATGATTGCCAGATTGCTGGAACTCGTTGCAGTTAAGAAAACGTTGTTTTTACGATCTACGAGGACGTTGGATGGTGTGTTTTGCAGATTTAATTCCTGAAGATGTCCTTTGAACTTTGACATCTGAGTGACATGGAAATTTAAATCAACGTTTGCCAAGATATTTGGTTGATCAGAGGATCTAGACTCGTGTTTCAGGTGTTTTCCTCGATATATTATTTGACTGTTGTTTAGATTGATGAGGAAGACTCCTTGTAGTAGTTTATCCTCGGCGATGTCCTGGTCGATGATTTTTAAACTTTCTCCTGTAGGGAAAGTTGCCAGATACTGGTTGATTTGTGGTATCCATTCCAAGTGGTTGGCAGAGATGTTCAGTGTTGTGTAGCTGCAAAGTTCTGTTCTACTATTCTCTAGCAGGTTCAATTCACATTGAGCATTTGTGTAAGTTAGTAAATCAGAAGAGCAAAAGTGTACGTATGCAATTTTTTGGAGTACGAGTACTCTTTAGTGTAATTATTTGAGTTTTCTCAAGACCAGATTGTGGTTTGAGTAAATATTTAACATTTGGAAGAATAGTTACAAAGCTTCCCCGTATTTGGCAAGTACGGGGTACATTTCATATAGTCGGAAGTTTACATCTTGTACAATAGGTATTTCTAATAAATATACAATTTCTGTAGGTTTGATAATACAATTGATTTTGATAATTTCCTCATAGTTTATTATGTTTTGAGGGTGAACTTCGAAAGGCAATCTATTTCCTTAGTAAGGCGAAATTTTATTTAGTTCATAGAATAGTTCGGATGGGGAAATTATGCTAGGGTGTAATGTTTTAAATTTACAAAATGCTATAGAATTTTCTATATCCTGTAATGTGCTTAATATAATGTGATATAGAATTTGTATTTGATTTAAGATATGTTGTCTGTTTAAATTCATGTATTGGTCAATGTTCTCGTGTAGTTTTAATATCTTCTTAGCGATCATGATTATTCAGGTTTATAGTTTGCAGTGTTTTGTTTTATTCTTTTATGATTTCTGAGTTTAGTGAGTATTGAGCATTTATTTGTGATTGCATATCTTGTTTTTATGAATCTAAATGTTTAATCATTTTTTCGAATCTTTCTTTATCGTTGTTATCTAAGTTACTGGTTATAAATTTTATTATTGTCCCGAGGCCGTTTATAATTCCTCTCTTAAATCTATCTTTAATAACATTCCCTTGTGGGTTGATAAATTCTAATTTATCCCTTATAATTTCTCTAGTGTGGTTAATTATTTTACAGTAGCTAGTTAGAGTGACCCCATTGGTTAAAGTACTAGTCCCGTGTATTAATTTTCTTTGTTGGTCCAATAGTGTAGAGCGATAGTTTTCGTCAAGGACGTGTAATTGATTTATAAAGTGGTTTAGTTTAAAAAAATGTATTAAAACGTAGTGGGACGTCTGTACTTTTGCAGTGCCTAGGTCTATAGGGATGTACGATGGGCCTGTCGTGATGTCCGTTATTATTGCCCCCTGACTGCCTAGAGCAGTGTCCTGGAACAAATTTGTTTGTTAGTTACCCGTCTTCCTAGGTCGTTTTATGTTTTCTAAATGAATTTTGTCTTTTGTGTTATGATGTTGGGTCTTCATTTTTGCGGTTTTTAATTCTTTATTAACAGTATCTATCTGTTCTGGTTTGTAACGGTCTTTGGTTTTGCTCTGTTTTTGTGCGTTTCACACGTAAACGTCTTTGGGAATTTCAGGGAGGGTTTCCCTGTTTTCGTTCCGTTTGTTAATAGACTTCTCTTTTGATTTGGCTTAATTCTCTCATATAATAATTTAGTTCGTTCTCTGTGGTTTGCTATGTAGTCGTTAGTTAATTGCTCCATAACTTCGATTACCACAAGCTCAACGAAAAAACTGTTGAAGACAAATA